CAAGGACAGGTAATAACAGGAGCTGTGGAAAAATTAGAACCCTCATACTCTGCTGGTGGGAGTGTCAAGTAGCACAGCCACTCTGGAAGACAGTCTGACTTTCTTTTTAAAAAAGATTATTTCATTATTTAACACACGCATGTGTGTGTGTGTGTGTGTGTGTGTGTGTGTGTGTGTGTGTGTGTGTGTGTACATGTATATGCAGGTAAGAAGGAATCAGATCCCCTGGAGATGGAGTTATAAGTTGTTTTGAATCACAGGATTTGGGTACTGGGAACTGAACTCTGGTATTTTCAAAGAGAAGTCTTAACTGCTGAGTCATTTCCTCAGCCCCTATCCTGGCTTTCTTTGACCATTAGATACAAAGTTACTGTATGACCCAGCAATTTTGTTTCTAGATATACCCTAGAAAAGTTAAAACATACATCCACCCCAAAACTTGTATGTGAATGGTTGCGGGAACATTCATACTAGCCCAAATGTGGAAATAACTAAATACTCATTTATTCATGAACGGATAATAAATGAAATGTGATATTTCTAATATGTAAGATTATTCAGTAACAAAAGGAGTGAAGTACTGGTGCATAATAGGACATGGGTGAACTTTCACAGGAGACCAGATATTATATAATCCCATTTCTACAAACTGTTTGGAATAGGTAAATTGATGAAGATGGGTTAGTGGCTGTCCAAGTAGTGTGGAAGAACTGAGGACAAAGAATGACTAGCAATGGGTGTGGTGTTTCTGTTTACAGATAACAAAAATATTCTAAAATGGATAACGGTGATAAGTACACAAGTCTGTGACTATATGAAACACCATTAAATCATATACTTTACTTTTATTATATGTGTGAGGGTGTTTTGTCTACCTGTATATCTGTTCACTATATGCATGCCTGGTGTCCAAGGGGGTCAGAAGAGGGTGTCAGGTCCTTGGAAATGGAAGTTACAGACATTTGTGAGCTAACATGTGGCTGGGAACTAAACCCAGGTCTTCTGTCAAGCAGCCAGTGTTTTTAACCACTGAGCCATCTCTCTAACACTTTCATTGGATTAATTATATAACATATGAGTTATTCTCAATGGAGCTGTTAGACAATATTTTGTTTGAACTTGTCATCTCTAACAATGAAATGAATGATCTTTCTCAATGTGCCAAATATATTCTTTTAATGAGTCTTATTATGCCAACACATACATGCACTTTTCCTTTCTTTTAAATTCTGATGTTTCGCTGCGCAGTCAGGAAACATCAGAATCCCAGCACTCGGGAGGCAGAGCCAGGAGGATCTCTGTGAGTTTGAGGCCAGCCTGGTCTACAGAGTGAGATCAAGGACAGGCACCAAAACAACACAGAGAAACCTTGTAACCTTGTCTCGAAAAAAAAAAAAAAATTCTAATGTTTCTAGTATCTTCCATTTTCCCCTTAGTCTTTTTATGATGTGTGCTCATTAGTGGTGTGTGGGCAGGAACAGAAAACATTTACCAATGGCTGCTTTATGTCTAAAACAAACTCTGACACTGATAACTTTCTTATGCATCTTCAGTCTTAGTTTTAAAAATTATTCTTTAATTACTTCGAACAACTAAAAAAAAGCAATGCTGATAAAAGAGCCTCAACCTCACGAGAAGCTCCCACCAACTCACCATCGAGGGGCAACGGTTTCATCAGGTCCTGCAGTTCCTTGTCTGTGAGCTCGATATCAAGGTTTGCCAGGACACTTGGTACATCGTCAGTCGAGATCTTCTCACCTGTCAGAAGAGATTTGATGAGCATCACAGTTCACACCATGCTTGATGTCTAATGGGAAGAGTTCCTTTATAATTAAAAATACCCTAGTTTTAAGGCCAAAGATTAAAGTAAAAAGAAAAAAAATTTAAGCTATTGCATCAATAACTTTGTTAAGCCAAATTTATCTTTACAATATAAATAAGTTTCTTTTACAGTGATTGAATAATAACTTCTAGACTGAAGCCGGATGAATTTATTACATTTATTTTTTAGTGTGTGTGTGTGTGTGTGTGTGTGTGTGCATGCTTATGTGTGGTATACACATGCCATGGTGCAGGTGTGGAGGCCAGAGGAGAACTTGCAAGAGCCAGTTTTCTCTTTTCCTGCAGAGCCATCTCATCAGGCCTAACTTAAGTTATAAAAAGATACTTATATACAACTTTCTTCAAAGATAATTTTATGTTTGTTTATTTGTGTCTTTATTTTTGAACAGGGTCTTCCTATGTATCCCATATTTGCCTCAGAGTTACATAGCTGAGACTTGATTTGAATTCAGGATCCTCTTGCCTCAGTCTCCAGAGCTCTGGGTTTATGGGTATACTTAGCCAAAAATATCATTTTGGTTTTGAAAAGAATTACAATGAATACAATGAGGACATTGACTTGATCATTTGAAAACTTCATTCAGGTTTGTTGTGTCTTTCTCTATTTTGTTTACAAAGAACCACTGAAGTAAATTATAATATCATAACAGACTATAGAATCTCATTCCAAACTACAGAGAATGTTAAAACATGGAGTTCTAGAGTCAAATATCGTTATCAAGTATGCAAAAACAGTAGAATTTATAAGTCAAACATTGAGTACTGAGAAACATTAGTGACTATAAAACGTTAATGTGGATAGCCCAAACCTCATTTTATAACTTTTCCACTCACCTGTATAGTCTTTCAGTTTTTCCATCAGTGTCTGTAGAGGAATTTTCTCATCAACTATAGGGAAGATTAAAACCACATTACGATGTAACCAAGACTATGGGACTCTGCGCACACGCACAGGAATGACTCTCATCACTTTGGGCACCACCCCATTGTCCACATACTTCAGAAACAGCCACTGTCCACAGAAACCCCATTGTCCACATACTTCAGAAACACACTTTCTAGTTTATCACCTCGTCTCTTCTCCTTTGACAAGCATCAAAAAGGAAGATTCTGGAGTGACATCAGCAAGATGGTCAACGTGAAAGGCCTAGCACTGTCTCCCGGGGCTTCCTCAAAAAGGATCCAAACTATATCTTGCCTGGTTTCTAAGGGGAGCCCTGGTGTACAGCACGGGAGGGGTGGAAATCTCAGGCTGGATGTGCTGGGAAAGGACAAAAGCATCCTGAATGTTACTCTACCTCCCTGGTCGCAAATAGTGTGGAGCTCAGTGGGAAAACGACAAACAGGCCTTCTGCAGCCTCATTACTACCAGAGACAGCAGAGTCTCTTGAGATACACCTCAGGAGGTTCCTGTCGGAGTCAGTGGTAGTGCTCATTAGCAGATTTTCATCAAAGCCTGAAGTTGGCACCATCCTTTCTTTCTGCTCCTAGTTCAAGATACAATCAGTCGCTTGCTCCCCCTCCCCCCCACAGCCACATTTACCATATGGAGCATATGTGGTGATACGACCAAGAGGTGTATCTATACCAATATCAGACTCTGAATCTCCAAAACTCTTAAGTCATCCAGACATCTATTTATTTCCTAAATAACTTGTACCAGGTATTTTGTAGCTGTGGTAGGAAGATAACTACTACCTTCTTCAATCAATAGATAGAATAATTAAATAGATAAAAAAAAAACAACCCATGATCCTCAATATACTCAAGAACATTCATGAAAATCCCACAATTTAATATTGCAACCAATGGGGAAATGAAAACTTTCCCACCAAGATTTATCACAAGACACCTGCATTCACTCTTATCACTTCTATTCAGCATAGCACTGAAGAGCTAGTAAGAGCAGACCAGAAAATAAATTAGAGGCATGGGAGGGAAGGGCGACATGAGGTGTCAGGCACAGACAGAAAACCATCACACAATTTACAAATACACATGAAGTATAAAAGAGTTCAACCTGGGAAATAAGAAGTACAATGCTGGCTAACGGGCTGGCCCAGGAGTAAAGTCGGGAAGATGTTGATCAAAGGGTAAACAGTTCAGCTAGACCAGAGAATGGTTCAAAATATCTACCGTACAACAGTTAGTATTCTATATTTGAATGTTTAGTAAGAACAGATTTTATGTGTACTCATCACAGAAATTAAATAATGAGTATGCTAGTCAGCTGGATGTAGCCATTCCACAATGTATCTACACATCTGAAAGAACACTCTGTAAATGATTCATTCAATTTCTTGTCACTTAAAATATCAAAAGTCTTAAAAAAAACTTAAAAGTTCAACAATGCAATTTCTGGCTTATAGTGGATCAGATTTGTTTATATTGAGAGAAAAGGTGACTAAGACATAGGTCTATCCTGAGAGTTTGAGCTCATAGTCAAAATGTGGAAGACTTATGTACTATGTGGTACTTGTGAAAGCAAAAATCTCATAAACCAAAGAATAATGTTTTATCTTTTTAGATAGGAAAGAGGCTGCTCATGTGCTAAAATACAATCAGGTGTTTTGCATGGTGCCCCCCACATGGCTCTTCTTGGCTCTCCCTTCTCCTTTGAAAAGGATATATAACACAAACAAACATATATACATACATACACTCAAAGGTTCTTTGAACTAAACTGTGGTATCATTATTTGAATGTATGTCCTCTTTAAAACTCACAAAGAGTTTATTTGCCATCTTAACACTATTAAAAGGTGGGATTAAAAACATCTCATTGGTATGTGTGTGCGCGCGCGCGTGCGCGTGTATGTGCCCGTTGGGCGGTCAGTGGACAACTCTGAGTTTTGATCCTCACATATCTTGTTTAAGATAGGATCTCTGTTTTAGCTGCTGCCTATGCCAGGCTGCCTGGCCCTTGAGCTGCTGGGGATTCCCATGCCACAGTAGAAGTGCTGGGATTGCAGTCATGCTACTGTGCCCCTTTTATCCAGGATCTGGGAATCTGAACCAAGGGCCTACTGCCTGCATTTGCTTTACCCACAGAGTCATTCCTTTAGCCTTGAAAGCAGGACTTTTAATAGGTTAGTCCATGAGGGCTCGACTGTGTAATGATACAGCAAGAAGCAGTCAGTGGATGCAGGAGCCTTAATCTAGGACTTCATAACTTCCCCAACTGAGAAAGTAAGGTTCTTTTCTTTAGAAATGATACACTCTATGTAAGTATATTACAGTGACATGAAGGGACTCTGATGTTTGATGTCGGTCAGATGCTCACCACCAACGTGTATGCTTTGATTCAGATCTCTAAGCTCCATATTTGAAAGTTTGACTCCCATGTTGCCCAGAACTGTGTTCAGGTTGTTGACATCGACTTTACCACCTAAAGAATGTAGCATAGAGAAGATTAAATGATGCCCACAGAGGCCTTCTTACATTTTATTGATACACATACCACATTGTGAGTTTTTTGAGCACCATGTCATTACTCACAGAGTGTGCATACTATTTTGGGATCATTATCTACTCACTAAAACCTATTCAGAGTCTATTATTTAATTAGGACGCACGCTACTTCCTTTGAGTCTTAACTTGAGGAACCTACACAGACCAAAGTTTAAAATGGCAACAAATATTCAGGGAAGTTTAGTTTATGGGTAGAAAACATTCTTTATTCTGAATAATACATAGGGCTGACTGTTATTGGCTGAAATCCTAATTTTACTTATACTTGCTGCTGATCAAATCCTTTGGATCACTGGTGATCATTTCTATAATTTTTGCAATGCAAACTTGAAATGTGGTATTTCCTTTCCCATGTGGAACTTCCTCTTGTAAAATGGAACACAGAGGAGACATTTGCCAACTGATACTCAGAGATGTCAGCGTCCAGCGCTCAAAATTGTCATGCTGACTACATAGATGTGAGGATCACAATTTTCTTTTCATTCTCAACACACTTCTCACTCACCTTTGAGAGACGTCATGGTGTCTAGTAACCTGTTCTTAAAGACCTTGTTATCGTCTACAAAAAAAAAGTGCAAATTTAAGGTAATGGTGAAATAATGTGGTAATTCACTAAAATTATTTCAGTAAGACTAAAATCTTATTGCTTGCCTTACAAAGTGCTCCATTAAAATACAATTTGAGATACTATTAGGGAAAGTTTAGAACATGGTGGAGTTACTGGAAAATTTAGTTTAAGTACAATTTGCTTGAGTGTGTGTGCATGTGTATGCATGTGTGTACATGCGTGCTTGTGTATGTGTGTATGTACATGTGTGTGTTTGTTCCATCTCACCTTTTTAAAAATCCTCCTCTAGGTTAACATAACCCTTTTCCTTCCTTAATCCCATAGTCACCTGTAGGTACCCAGGAGGTAAGGATAGCAGTGGACACTCCTTCCTTTGGACAGCAGAGTTCAACATGATGGGGATACTTCTTCCCAAATTAAAAGTTAAGAATTTTATAGGTACAAATTTTCCTCAAGAATAAGTTAATATTTTAATTTTTAAGAGATAGGTTTAAATTTCTTTAATCTTAGGAAATGGGGATAATTTTAGATGTTAAATTTTTTAAAGATTTATTTATTTATTATACAGAAGAGGGCACCAGATCTCATTACAGATGGTTGTGAGCCACCATGTGGTTGCTGGGAATTGAACTCAGGACCTCTGGAAGAGTAGTCGGTGCTCTTAACCTCTGAGCCATCTCTCCAGCCCATGTTAAATTTTTTTAAGTATTAAAAAGCCCAAATGCTCTAAAGTCATATTAGCATTTGAAATACTTACCATCAAAAGGGAGTTTTTCCATCACTTTTGAGAATTCTTTGTCTGAAAGCTCTATTCCTATTTTTGATAGAATGGGTTTCACATTTTTGATATCCACTTCTCCTCCTAAAAAATCAATACACAACTTGTACAACCAGTGTGGAAATCAGTATGGCGGTTTCTCAGAAAATTAGGAATCGAACTACCTCAAGACCCAGCCATCCCACTCTTGGGCATATTCCCAAGGAATGCTGATTCATACCATAAAGATACATGCTCAGCTATGTTCATAGCAGCACTATTTGTAATAGCCAGAACCTGGAAACAACCTAGATGCCCATCAACGGAAGAATGGATGAAAAAAAATATACACAATGGAGTACTACTCAGCAGAGAAAAACGATGAAAGCATGAAATTTGCAGGCAAATGGATGGAACTAGAAAAAATCATCCTGAGTGAGGTAACCCAAACCCAGAAAGACAGTTATGGTATGTACTTACTCATAAGTGGATTCTAGATATAAAATAAAGAACAATCAGACCACAACCCATAGAACCATGGAGGCTATATATATAGCATGGAGGTCCCTAGGACGACTGTGGCTTATAATAAATTTCGGTTTTACTCAATTATTGAAAAAAAATAGCCAAATGAATGGAAACATATGAACTATGAACCAAAGGCTGAGGGGCCCCCAGCTGGATCAGGCCCTCTGAATAGGTGAGACAGTTGATTGGCTTGATCAGTTTGGGAGGCAACTAGGCAGTGGGACCAAGTCCTGTGCTCATTGCATGAGTTGGCTGTTTGAAACCTGGAGCTTATGCAGGGACACTTGGCTCAGGCTGGGAGGAAGGGACTGGACCTCCCTGGACTGAGTCTACCAGGTTGATCACAGTCCTCGGGGGAGGCTTTGCCCTGGAGGAGGTGGGAATGGGGGGTGGGCTGGGGGTAAGGGGAGGGGGTGGGAGGGGGGAGAATAGGGGAACCCGTGGCTGATATGTAGAACTGAATGGTATTGTAAAATAAAATAAAAAAAAAAATCAATACACATCATTACATATACAAATATAGATTTTCATCTAATAATTCTAAATGGGGAAATAAATAATCTATGATACACTGCATGAGAAGGTACAGAATGGGAGCAGAGGTCAAACAGTTCTACAAGGGTACCTACTATTACAGTCAAAGAGATTTGATCCTAAATGCTAATAAAAAAAGCTGGAAAGATGACTCAGCATTTTCTGTTTTTGCAGAGGCCCAGAGTTTGATTCTCAGCTCACAACCACCTGTACCTCAGCTCCAGGGGCATCCAATGCCTCTAACTTCCTTAGGTACCTGAGCTCGGGAACACACACCCACATTCAGATGTACATACATACATACATACATACATATATCTATGTATATATATAATGTCAAGGTAACTTTGAATGCAGAGATTATCTGTTATGGAATATTCTTTTAAGATGTGTTACATTTGTTTATGCTGTGGGACATTTCTTTAATGATGCAAAGATGTGTTGCATTCTTTTTTTTTTCTTAAAAAATTTTTTTTTCATCGAGCAGTGAAGGCACATGCCTTTAATCCCAGCACTCAGGAGGCAGAAGCCAGGTAGATCTCTGTGAGTTTGAGGCCAGCCTGGTCTACAGAGCGAGATCCAGGACAGGCACCAAAACTACACACAGAAACCCTGTTTCGAAAAAAAAACCAAAAAAAATTTTTTTTCTTTCCTTTTACATAACAACCCCTGTTTTGCCTCCCTCCCCTTCTCCTGCTCCCCCACACCTATCCCCATCTCACCCTTATCCCCTCCTCATAGAGGGTAAGGCCTCCCTTGGTTAGTCAACACAGCATACCAAACTGGCATACCAAACTGGGGCTGGACCTAGCCCCTCCTCCTTGCATCAAGGCTGAACAAGGCATCACACCATAGGGAATGGACTCTAAAAAGCCAGTTTGTGTTACGTTCTTTTATGCTGCATTTGTTTAACTCTGTAAAGCTGTGTTACTTTGCTGTCTAAAACACCTGATTGGTCTAACAAAGAGCTGAACAGTCATTGGGTTGGCAGGAAAGTATAGACAGGGCTGGCAAGTAGGGAGAATAAATGGGAGGAGAAATCTGGGAGGATAAAGAAGGAGCAAGAAAAAGGACAGGAGGATGCTAGGATCCAGCCACCCAGCCACCCAGCCACCCAGCCACCCAGCCAGCCACAGAGGAAGAGTGAAAGTAAAATATACAAAAGTAAGAAAAAGAAAAAGCCCAGAGGCAAAAGGTAGATGGGATAATTTAAGTTAAGGAAAGCTGGCTAGCAACAAGCCAAGCTAAGGCTGGGCATTCATAAGTAATAATAAGACTCTGTGTGATTTATTTGGAAGCCAAAGAGTAAAAATCAACCAACAACCGATGTCCACACCATGCATCCCTTTCTTCAACTATAATACATGCAAATAGTTGCAAGGACTAAAGTGATATCTGCCAGTCCCATTGTTAGACGTTATAAGTTATCTGAAATATTTAGCACAGTTTTGTGGCAGCTATTATCTTACTAATATAGAAACTGGTTATTCTAAAATAAAGAGAGAAAAAATATATTGAAATGAAAAATATACCAGAAACAAGCAAAATGCCACTGATTTGATTTTCAATATTTAACAAATGAGGCAAATGTCATAATTAACATGACAGTTAAAGGATGATAAAATATACTGACTATAAACACTGAGCATCTGGGATTCACAATTGCCCACTCACCTGTAATGGTTCTAACTCTATCCATCACCTTTTTCAGATCAGCCTTCCCATCATCTATGAGAAAAGGCACAATGGAAAATAATACCATAAACATAGAAAAAGAAACAGGATATATTTGTGGTAAAAAACAACCAATAAAAATCTCCACCCTCTGAATTTTCCATTGACTTATTAAATTCCTGGACCTCAAGGAATTAATGTGATCTCCATTAAATGGGAATGTCACTTATACCTAAGAAACTGGGTCAGGACAAGTATATTTTCCATGGTGTTTCAGAAGCCATTATAAACAACTTTTGAAAACACTACTGGATTGACCTAGGATTCCAGTGATTTAAGTCCATGTATGAATAAACAGCGGAGGCAGGGGCTACTAACCTAGCCCCGTATGCTCTAGGATTCCTTCCTGGAGGACCAATGCTCAAACTATTTGATGTATTAGCATAGACTGTGAGAGATTCAGAAAGAACGAAGAAATTTTATATGGAAGAGAAGATGAATAAAGAAAAAAATCAAGGAACATAAAGATGTGGAACAACACAACTTAAGGAAAAGAAAATGGGACAAACTAAGCTGTTAGAGGCACAGAAGAAACTGGAAGGTATCCTGCACCATCATCCGAACCTCAGATTTCACAAACTGAGGAACGGTGGAAGGATGGGCCTGTTGACCTCTCTACAACCTTTCATATCACTATAATTTGTGTGTGAGTGCATGTGTGTGCATATTCACACGTGTGTGTGTGCATGCATGTGTGACAGAGTCTCATTATGTAGCTCTAGCCGGCCTGAAACTCACTATGTAGATGAGGCTAGCCTTGAACTCACGGAGGTCTGTCTGCCTCAGCCTCAGTCTTCTGAGTGCTGGGATTAAAGGCATTTTAGCAATTCTTTTAGAAACAGATAGATTATGCTGATTTTGTTTTGGTGTAATAAAGATCCAAGTTTTATTCTTGTTTTAATATTAGCTTCTTCTCCAATTTTTCTAACATGTATCTGTCATCAGTTACACCCAATTTAGCATGTATTTTATGACACAAAGATAAGAAGATGCCTGGGGGGATCTGTAGTACTCACCATCCACTGGGAGGTCTTCTGACAGCTTTGCAAATTCTTCTTCATTGAGTTTGATTCCCAGTCTTTTTAGGAAACCGTCCAGGTTATTTACCTGAACCTTTCCCTCTTAGGAAAAAAGATATGAGGTAATAAGAAGGTGAACTTTACCAACGCCTTCTATATGCAAACTCGTTATTAGTACCTTTAATGATTTTAACTGGTTTTGACTGTACCAACTTACTAAGTTGAAACTATGTTTTCAAGAATTCCATTTTCTGTATAGGTTTTTATTTTTTTCTTCTGTGTTTTGACTTGAACCCAGAGCCTCACACACATGCTAAGCAAGAAGCTCTACCACTGAGTCACACCCACAGCTTTTCTGTGTAGTTTTGGGATAGTATTTGTCAGAGAGAACCCTGCATAATTGCAAAGCTGAAGTGAGGTTTCAGTCACCCCCCTCTGTGAGCGCATGGGGCCAGGTGGGCTTTCTATTTACACTGAGGGGCAAAGCGTGTTTGCATGAGGCTACCCAGTTGCTCCCTAGGGCAGTGGGACAGCTGGCTGAGAAGCATAATATTCTTATCATTCTATGTCTGCAGATTCCTTTCCTGTACAGTTCTGTGATGAATTCTGCATACTTGGAAGTCACAAGTGAAGTGAGTTCGAGCCCATTACCAGGAGCAGAGGTAGCAGCCCTCAGAGTCCTTCACCATATCTTACAACTCCATGGCTTAATCTTGTAATAAATTCCCTGACCTTGTTGCTCCTAGTAACTATGTTTCCCCAATCAAATTCTAAGTGATACAATGACCACAAATTCCATTAAAATAAAACAGTACAAAAGAGCCTTGAAATTGTTTCAACAAAGTTGAAACCCCTAATAGCCTTGTCCAAGGACACACAGAAAGTCAATAAAATAGGTAAAAATAAATTTTGTCTCGGTTACAACATGAGGGGGCCAGATAAAGGTAAGAAAATATGAAAAATGCTATAGAATTCCCTCTAAGACAGTGGTTCTTAATCTATGGGTTGTGACCCCCTAGTGGGGTCAAATGGTCCTTTCACAGGGGCCACATATCAGATATCCTGCATACCAGATATTTACATTATGATTTATAACAGCAGCAAAATTACAGTTATGAAGTAGCAGTGAAAATAATTTTATGGTTAGGGATCACCACAACATGAGGAACTGTATTAAAGGGTCACAGCACTAGGAAGGTTGAGAACCACTGCTCTAAGATGAAATATATGCTATTTCTGATATAAAGAATCAGAAATAAGGAGTTATAGCAAAGCAAGGATTCACAATTAATTATTTAATAAACAGTGAATGTCAACATGTGTCTTTTAATTGAGTTACTTACCATTGAAGGATTTCACGCCTTTTAGCACCCTGTTGTAATACACTTTCCCAGAATCTAAGGAAAAACCATAGTTCATTTAATGGGAAACTGACTTGATATCATAAAAGTAGCATAATACAAATTATTTAATAATCATCATTTTAAAAAGAGCTGTCTAGGGCTGCCGAGATGGCTCAGAGGGTAAAGGCATTTGCTCTATAAGCCTGATGACAAGTTGCAGCTCAGCACCTACATACAGGTAATGGGAGAGAACTGATTTCACAAGCTCACGCTTGGCCTCCATACGAATCCATGGCACATGTACACACATATATCATGCACACAATAATCATAAAGCATTAAAACAAAAATAAAGAACTGTCACTGCTTTGTATACTATTTAATTTGAGATAGTGAAGCTATGGAATAGAAACTTCCTCACTGTGACAAACCTCTCTAGTGCCTGAGGGACTCCACATGCTAAATGTTGCTTCATCTTTACTTTTTTGCCATGAATATGATACTTTCCTCTCCTTTTTCTTTTCTCATTTTATGATGTAAGAAAATTAGTGGCCTAAAGATAACATTCTTTATGGTTGATGTCAACTTTCGTCTTCAGACTTCTGGCACTTCCAATATAAAGTATCAAAGACAATGGGGCAAAATTATTCTATAACAATTCAATATTCTTCCTTCCTTCCTTCCCTTTTCTTTTTTCTTTCTTTTTTGTATTTTTAGAGGAAAATAAACAGTAGTAGAGTTAGAGAGCTTTACACAGACCCTACAGACAAAACAAAAACAAAAACAAAAGCCACAGCAAAACAGAAAGGCTCCTAGAAGTTCCATGGGTCTTCCCCTGGCTCACCATCAGCAGGCAGTGTTTTCAGCAGCCTTTCTTGCTCCCTCTCTGTGAGTTCAACCCCCAGGTTCTTTAAGATGTTTTTCAGGTCACTGGAATCAACTTTGTCTCCTTTCAAAAGAGGGAGTCGCAGGTACATGGAATTGAACACAGAGTCACAGGTACATGGACTTTGAATACAGTGTCACAGGCACATGGACTGTGAATACAGTGTCACAGGCACATGGACTGTGAATAGTGTCACAGGCACATGGACTTTGAATACAGTGTCACAGGCACATGGACTTTGAATACAGTGTCACAGGCACATGGACTGTGAATACAGTGTCACAGGCACATGGACTGTGAATACAGTGTCACAGGCACATGGACTTGAATACAGTGTCACAGGCACATGGACTTTGAATTCAGTGAGATTTTGTCTTGAGTTGTAAAACTTACTTTGTGTGGAGTCAGTTGTTAGGTTGAAGAATCAATTGCAGAGTCAATGGGCATGTTTCATGGTATTAGCTTTGCATAAGTTAAGGAGTTTTTTTTTTTTTTAACTAAAAGTAGGAAAGAGAACTTCTAGAATGAAATCTCATCAGTGAATTCCTAAAACACTAATTCTTATATGAGTCACTATTCAGAAATATTTGTGTGGCAAGAATTATTTGATGCTTTCAGCAAAAATGGTGTTGTCACCATCCCTAAGCTTTACTGTACCATATTCTATAAGGCTTTAGATTGTTTTAAGCATTTGTGAAGTGACATTATTTCAAACTGACAGCACAAAATACCTTATCACCTTAAGTTAGTCTGAGGGGCATTAGATGTGTATATATTATTATGAAACATTTTAATTTTATACGATTCTAGAAATGCCACAGAAAAATGAGGTGCTACTGATTAGAATCCCTAAATGATTTCTGTTATTTTCAGTTCCCTTTAATTTAATTAAACTTAGTGTAAGCCTTTACACCATGAGAATTACAGCACCTCCTTACTCACCTGTAAAAGCATTCAACTTTTTCATCAGTGTGTCTACAGAAACTTTCCTAAGAGCTGGAATAAAGCACGAGAATGAAGACGGTAAACCATCAGTGACTGTGACAAAGGCCCTAACCCAAGTGCTTTACATATTTATTTAAGAAATGTACTGTGGGGGTCGAGAAATGATTCAGTGGTTAAGAGCCCTTGCTGTTCTTCCAGAGGACCCGTGTTTAATTCTCACTACCCAAATGTCTGTTATTCCTATTCCAGGAGATCCAATGCCCAATTCTGGCCTCTATTGGCACTGCATGCAGGTAGTGTACAGACATACACGCAGTCAGAACATTTATACACATAAAATAATAGTTTTTTAAAGAAAAGGAATATACAGGCAACATTTTCTGTTATTTTATCCACTCTCACTGCTTTCATGAGTATCATGAAGAAAATCTTAAAAGTACAAAGTTCCCCCATTCCCATCTCCTCCAGGGCAAGGACTCCAGAGGGCGGAGGGGGGGTGGGGCAGGAGGAGGGAGGACAGGGGAATCTGTGGCTGATACATTAAATTATAAAATAAATAAGTACAAAGCTCCCATTTCAAAAATATAAATTTCATTCACAGTTCTAATATCCCAAAGTCAAGTGTGTTAGTGATGGGAAGAAATTCTGAAATACCCTTATCTCAAAAGCCTGTATTTTGCTATTCAAAGTGTAGAAGACTGTCTATTAGTGATCATAATATGGATAGAGAATGCAAAAGGCATGCTTTCAAACATGAAGCTTCAACACTGATTTTGGTAACTAGTTGCTTATATGCTCCGCCCATATGTTTAACTTTCTGATTACATCATATTAGACTGCAATTCATAAGGCCCCTTATCCTAGGACTTTTATAGTTAAAGGTCTTTCTTTTCTTTTCTTTCTTTCTTTTTTTTTTTTTTAAAGTAAAGTCTCCCAGTATAACTAGGACATTTGAAAACTCCACTCACCACCAGTAGGGAGATTTTGTACCAGATCCTTAAATTCATTGTCCTTAAGCTTGATTCCTAAGCTATCCACCAGAGTCTTCAGATTGTTGGAGCTAACCTTCCCACCTGAGGAGAGAGAGACCTATGAAGAAAGGTACAAAGCTCCCCAGACAGTTTCTTAGCACTTTCGGGGCTATATGCCCTGTTGCATACTCACAAATTGTGCCAGTTCTCGGGAAGATTGGACATCCAATCTTTTAGGATGGGTCCTGCATTCTCTAATGCCTATTCATAGGCTCTCTTAGTTATCTACTAGTACTAGTAATGTCTAAAATATGAAAAAAAAACCCTATTTTACTTATACTAAGATTATTTTAAACTCTTAGACTCTACTTAAGAACATTCTTAAGGGTTAAACCGTGAAAATGTAAAATCTAATAATAGAGTATGGTTTGAGACTGTAAGCCTGATAAACACTTTCCTCCCCAAAGCTGCTTTTGTTTGGTGAAGGCGATTTACCACAGCAACAGAGGTGAAGCCAGGGCCATGGTTGTTAACTGTTTTCATCACAACAACGAAACCAGATGGGGTAATATAGTATGACAATCAGCCAAATTTAGTCATTTACACTTTAAAGCACCATGTTGTGCATGATAAATATGTAGAATTTCACTTTAAACTAAAAAATACTGAGGAAATTCTATTCTAGTTCTGGAGGTAACTTCTGAACAATATCTGGGGTTCATTTAAGATGGCTGAACTCCAAGTCTAGTTTTTATTTCCTCCCAATTAAACCCAAGTGACTAATAACGTTTCCAAGCTATCCTTTTTCTATACAAATGTGAAATCCCATTACATTTTTTTGTTCAAAAGAGGAAATAAAATCTTGAGAAAGTGGGGCGCTTTCCCCTCATGTCTAAGATAGAGGGACTTAGCAGCTGCAGCAAAGGCTGCCACATAAATGGAGAACAAAATTATTATAGGTACATGTGAGCTTTGGTGAAATGCAGGGATGTGTTCAAAATGTAGACATGAGGACTTTGACATTCACCTTTCAGGGACTTTACTTTCTCCAGTAACCTGTTTTGAAAGATCTTTCCGTCATCTGTAAGAAATACAAGACTCAAGTTACAAAAATGTGGATAACCATTAGCATATGCTCAGGAAAACTGACTTTTAGCATCTTCACTACATATTTTTTCTTATAAAAACTGTGAGAGCCAGTGAGATGGCTCAGTGGGTAAAGGTGCTCGCTGTCAAGCCTTAGGACTCAAGTTCAATCCCCTGGACCCACATGGTAGAAAGAGAGACTCTACTCTTACAAGTTGTCCCCTGACCTCCACATATGTACTACGGCATGGGCATCCTCCCACATGTCCATAATACACACATGTGGGTATGCACATACATGCACACACACAATAAATAAACAAATGAAAATGTGAGAGAAAAGTGGGGGAAATTTAGTACATTAAGCTCTATACAACACACACACACACACACACACACACACACACACACACACACACACACCTCTTTTATTCATCCCCAATCCTGTTTTTGCTCACTCCTAAGCTATCCCTTTCTCTTTACACATATCCTACACTACTTTTTGGTATATACATAAACTTTTTGTATAGGCAGCATAATAAAGAGGAATATCAGATCTAAAATAGGAGCCTGTGTAGAGAGGATTCACATCAGAGTTCAGGGACACTCTAACTTTGTGATTTATACTTAATGTAGTGTCATGAAACGAGGGTAGCTTTGTCACAGAGAGATCCTAAAGCCTTTTGATTACATCAATAGTTGAGATTCTTACCATCAAATTGCAGATTTTCCATCAGTTTGGAGAATTCTTGATCTTTGTACTCTAGCCCCATTTTTTCCAGAACAGTTTTTATATCGCCAATACCAATTTTTTCTCCTTAATAATAAAGATTAAAACAGTGACATACATGGAATTTAGCACAATTGTAAATAATTCAGCTACACAATGTGAGCACATGGTGGGGAAAACCCTGGCCACTGAGTATCTAAAAACAAGATCATTCAAAGGAACATGATTTGTTTGTAGAGACCATCAAGAGATGAGAGGTTACCCTCAATGCTGCTCATGAGAACATGGCAATAGGATGTACTGAGAAAATAAATTGCCAAAGTTGCTGCTTTGAAATTCATCCCTGTATCTGCTTCATCTCCCTTAGGCTTCTTGAGATCAAGGATTGAGTGTAAAAAGATACAAAGGACAACTTGTTTCTACAAGTAGCTGCTGACTTTGCTGGAGGATGTCTAGAAATCCCTGCCAGTCCTTCTAAGGACTGGATGGGTGGCTATTGGTTAAGAATTCTCCCATCCAAATACTAACCAGGGCTGACCCTGCTTAGCTTCTGACATCAAGTAGTATCAGTTGGGTAAGTTCAAAGAAGTATGACTATAGAGAAGTCTAAGAATTCTGATAGGATGCTTCTATCCAACCTTCTGTCTCTGCTTTGCTTGGAACCAGACTTCAAGCTTCTAGCCTTGACCAGATGCTTCTTAATTTTTTCCTTGCATAAATATTTCTCTTCATAATGCCTCTTTCATATTTAATCCCATCTTGGTATATGGTTCTTGAAGAACTTGCACAAACAATGGAACTCACACTGGTAATGGTGAGCAGGCATTGTGAATCTCTCCATTCAATTAGAAGACTGAAAATGCCTTCTCCTAAGCCTACCAATGTGTGCTAGAGTCTTTTAAAAAGATTCATTTTATTGTTGAATTTGGCTGTATTATAGTAAGAAAAAAGACATTATTAGAAAACACACTAAAGCTGGGCATGGTAGTGCACGCCTTTTATTCAGCACTCGGGTGGTAGAGGCAGGTGGATCTCTGTGAGTTCAAGGCCAGCTTGGTCTACAGAGTGAGTTCCAGGATAGCCAGGGATACAAAGAGAAACCCTGTCTAGAAAAACAAAAACAGAAACAGAAACAGAAACAGACAAAACTACCCAATGAAACATAAAACAAAACAAAACAAACAAACAAACAAACAAACAAACAAAAAAACCACACGAGAAAACACTGTAACTTCTGGCCATTGAACAGAAAAAAGATTAAACAAAGAGGTGTCAAAAATCATACAATTAACAGTAATAAAGGCATGAAAAAAAAGTACGTTGGGGCTGGAGAGATAGTTCATTGGTTAAAAGCACTTGCTGCTCCTCTAAAAGACCTGAATTTGGCTCATAACTGCCTGTAACTTCAGCTCTAGGAATTCAGCCTCCTCTTCTGGCCTCTGTGGGCACCTGCATACATGTGGCACATATTCACATAGATAGTCACATACACATAAATTAAAATACTATAAAAAAATTAAAAATATCTAACTGTAAAAAATTAGGACCCTATATTTACATTAACTCTCACTTACCTGTAAAGGTTTTTGCTCCGTCCAGCACCTTATTTAGGTCAACTTTTCCATTAGCTATGAATGAAAGGGTCAATGGAGATATGCAATTAGTGTGATAAGTTCAGAAGTCATATGCAAAGGATCTACAGTGGAGAAACTTGCCCATAAATTTCTCATACACCTTGAAGTGGATAGTGGGATGCCTTACTAAAGTTGTCCTTGGGTCTCCAAGGTCTTTGTTGTTCCATATGAATTATAGAATTGCTTTTATATCTGTGAAAAACTGAACTTTATTATATTGAATGTAGATTTTTTGTGTAATATGGATACTACAATAGTATTAATTCTTCCTATCTGTAAATTGAAATTACTTCAGTTTATTGTTGGTTCCCTATCTGGGGTTAGTAGATGCTTTTTAATGTCTCACAGGCAACCTAAGAGCTAAATCTCCATCATTATACATTAACCAGCCTTAAGTATTTTGATGCACCAATGGCAAATGGACAAATACATTTGATCTCCTTGTTCTTTTTGGTCTGCTCAGATTTTCTATTTCTTGATGATTCAGAATTGGTAGGTTGCCTAGAAACTTATCATTTCTTCTAGGCTATCCAATTGGTTGGTGCATTATTGTTCACAGTCTCTTTTAAGCTTTTGTCTATCTGTGATCTCAGTTGTAATGTCTTTAATTTCTGCTTTCCTGTGAGCATTCTCATTTTTTTCCCTTAGTCTAGCTAAAGGCTTGTTGATTTCATTTATACTTAAAGAAAAACAAATCTTAGTTTGGTTGACATTTTCTATTGTTTTCCTGGTCTTTCATTTATTTCTACATCAACTTTTACTATTTTTTAACCTTCTGCCATATTGGCTTTAGTTTGTTCTTCCTTCACTAGTACCTTGAGGTGTACCATTAGGTTGTTTATTTGAGATCTCTGTTGATGTCAATCCTTTATTCTAACTTTTCCCTTGCGAACTGTTTTTTTGATGCATCTCATAAATTTTGGGTGTTTGTGTTCATTTTAAAAGGTTTTATTATATTTCTTTTCCCCCAAGTGTCTGTTTTCTGATGTGGTTACCCTTGCTCTCTTTGGCTTCCTTTTACATGAAATCCTGCCCACCTCCCGCTTTCACTTTTTCTCTATGTACTTAAACTGAATTGAGTCAAATGGTTGGGTTTTATTTATCTATTCATATATTCTGTCTTTTGATTATAGGATTTAATTTATTAACATTCAATGTAGTTATTGATAACTAAGGAGTTTTCTTATATTTTGCAAACTGTTTTCTGTTTGTTCAATATTTTAAATGCTTCTGCTGTTTGAAGTAAGCCTATGGCCTTCATGGAGACAGATATGGGAAGAAAGGACCTAAAAAGCTGCCCTGGACTTCTTAGATTTTCATTTGACTTTTGGAAAAGAAAAAACAAATACCTTGACGGTGGTACATTTTATAATCTCTAGGTGACATAGGAAGGGTTTAGAATGTCAAATTTATTTCTAGGTATTTTATGTGTATGTTTTGTTGCTTTAAATTGAATATTTTCTACTTCTATTTTCCATTAGCTTATTTCTAGCTAGGGAAATCCTTTGAAATTTTAATTTTTAATCTTGCACAAAAGCCCATGAACCAAATTGACATCTCAAAAACTCAATAATTTTAATAGACTTCTTTTGGTTTGTTTGCTAGGTTTAAAAAACACACAAAAATAAAATCTTAAACTACGGGTAATGATGTCTCTTTTCCAAAATTATCGCATTTGATTTTCTCACTGAAGTATTTAGAAGTTTTATAGCTGGTCTTTAAAATGTTATTTGTAATGTTAGGGTTCCCTAGTATTTTGAATATTTATCTTAACACCAACTAAATCTAGTTAACAACAACAACAACAACTTCCTTTAGGGCCACACAGTGCTGTCTAGCAGGCATACCATCAACTGGCAGGCTTTCCCTCAGCTGCTCCACTTCTTTATTAAGAAGGTTGATACCCATGTTTTCCAGGAAAGGGTGCAGGTTTTTGACATCAAGTTTTCCTCCTTAAGAAAAAGCAAAGAAAGAGAGAAAGAAACAAAAAGGAACAAGAGAGTAAATAAAAGATGTAAAATATGAAAATCATGTTTGTGTTTTTAATGACTATGTGTAACTACTTTAAGAAAAATATAAAAAAAAAAAGCCTATACTTGGCATTTTTGTATTGTCATTATTATTCATTACAAAAACCCCTATAATTTCCACTTGGCTTTTCCAATAAAACAGAGAAGGTAAAGACAAATAAGGTAAATGCAACCTGTTTTTTAAAAGCTCCATCCTAGTGACAAACCTATTAGAACAAAGACATTCTTTAGAAGACTATTCAGCTTCATGGCCCTAGACTTGATGTCAGCTCATTGCTACAATCACTTCCAATACTTCAAGTAAAGAGTAAAAAGTATTTATTTATTCCATTGCCAGATTGTCAGATTAACAGATTGGTTTTGTCTATTAATGAACAAAATTCCTAAAACTGGCAAAATAATCAGATCCTTTCACTACAATTTTGCCACGTATATTTAGATAACAAAGCATTTTTTATTTTTTGTAATAATTAGGAAGATTCCAAGTGTGATGATTCCTTCAAAGAGGAGAGAGAAACAACAAAAATTCATTGCAAAGCTCGAAGATTTCAGACAGATACTTTAGTATGAGTTTTAACTCACCTTTGAGAGACTTCACACCCTTCAGGACTCTAGCCCAATGCACCATCCCATTATCTGTGTGGGGGAAAAAGAAAAAAGGTGAGGAAGGAGCTTTTTACATCATATAAGGAAGCTGGTGAGAGAAGAACAGAATGCTAAAACAACAGAGTGAAAATAGACCCAATCATTCATCCTCAAGAACAGGGCATTTAAAGAGTCCTCAAAATAAAAAGGTAGGTCTCAACAGAAGTAAGAAAGAAAAGCACTAAACAAAAGACAAAGATGGTAAGTTTAAGAGCCTTTTCTTTACAGGAGGAAAATAAATTGTGAGCAACACTAATCAGCCACAAGGAACAACGAGAAGACAAAGTGAGTTGACAGCAAATAAGGAATGAGGTGGAAATGCTTATGGATAGACTACATATTTTTTAAATCATGTGAAAATATTTTCCAGGTTCTAGATATGAACTGGTTGATGTTCCAGAAAAAGTGGCTTTTCCCCCCTGGCAGTGCTGGGCATTGAACCTATGGCCTCAGACAAGCCAAGTAAGCACTCTACTGTAGGCCCTTAGCCCTTAGGAAATGTCAAATGTAAAACTGGTGGGGGAAAACGACAACAAGAAGAACTGGAGCAGCTCCCTTCCTGTGTTATGTGGTTTACACACAATGACTCAGAAGACTCAGATGGGGACTGTGCCTTGATTAAAGTAAAACCATTATCTCAACATGGCAGGTGTTCACAGAGGAGTTCAGTGGCCCTCAAACCAAGTATCTCTGTGGTGTCAGGATTTCTTGATTTTTACCTTTTATTTTGATACATTTTCAGAATTATAGGTACTGGGAAATATAGCGTGAAGAGTTCTCATAATTCTCTTCATCTTACCGTATTTGTTTTCTTATCCATCCAAACACAAATACTCTACAAACTTATTCAAATACCATCAACCACTCCCTTGCTGTCACTGACAGCAGTGAAGGACTAATTTTTCAGTAGAGGCTATCACCTCAGTCTCTGTCTCTCATCATTGTTACAAGTCATTTATTTTGTAATATATTCTTCAATTTGGGATTGAGAGACTTTAAACTTTCCAAACCTCTCAAGCACTGAATTCTAAAGTTTCCTGTTTCCCTCTCCAGCTTATTAAATCGCAGTCTGGAAACGTCAGTGACTTTTTAAGGCTTACCGTCCACTGGCAGAGTTTTCAGTAGCTTCGAATACTCCAGCTCATTAAACTCAAGCCCTGCTTTTCTTAGCATATCTTCCAGATTATTGACATCCATCTTTTCACCTAAAAAGTTAGGAATAGTGAGAGGTGGATATATTAGCTACCTCAAATTTTAGGTTGAATAACAAAAGCAGAACACTGTCCTTCCACACTGCTCTGGATTGGAGGAAAATTGGAATGTTAAATGTCCCTTTAATAGTCATATATACAAGGCTCTTTTTAAATTCTAGGAAAACTAAATCGAGTTTATTACTGTAAAATCAATCCATAGGGTGGTTAATACAAATAATCCTCTAAGGAAGAACTTTATGCTTTTGTTAATGTTGTAATTGTCAGCAATGCTAATGAAAATCAAAAAAATTCAGAGTACCATGTACTGAGCCTGTGTATTTCAGAGAAAGATTAGGAGGGCAGGTTCCATAGAATGCAGGATTTTTTACTAAGACATAATCCTATAGGTATTTTTTGTACTGTTTTTGCCATATTTTGCCAAATTCATGCACTCTAAGAAGCTTTTTCTATTGGAAAACTTCTATTAGAAGTCTTTTTCTAATTTTAGGGCAGTGGAGAACAGCAACAGAAAGACACTGTTATGAAAGTCTGAAGGCTTTAGTTGGGAGGAATTCGTCACTAACCTGTGAAAGTCTTTGCCTCCTTCATTATAGTTTTTATATCAACTTTCCCATCAGCTGCAAAATGACAAATAATCAGAATAAAGATCAGAAACAAGCACGATTTGGTAATTATTACTGCATTTTTTTCTTTTTCATTAGTGAAAACAAAAAAAGTTTTAATTCCACAATGAAGCTATATTGACAATATAGCTAAAAGACATTAAAATTCTAGCCACAAAAGAATGATATATAAAGGAAATGCATTCTGTTTTGAGTTCCCTTTCAGCACTTTAATCTTGGGTGAATTCCTATTATTTAGCTAGACTACAAGAAAAAATTTAAAAAGAAGTTTATGCTATATTTCAACACTTTTAAGTTTGGAAAATTGCCATTCATATGGAGTTTGCTCATATACACAATCTATGTAATGTTATTAAATTAAATTAAATGTTATTAAATTAAATTAAACTGAACAGACTTCACCAGTGCTTTGAATTACACATAGAAATTATTAATGTCACATATTAGTGACATAGCCTTTCTATGCCAGATATTTAGAGATTTGTTTTTAATGATTATTTACCTACCATTTACCTGGTACCAAAAGACAAAATTTAAAATATAAACTATGTCTATACAACAGGACTCACATATGAAAAATCTCAAAAAAAGAGATCAATGCTATGGATATTGCTCTAGATAAATAAAACACTGACTGGCCAGTAGCCAGACAGGAAGTATAGGCAGGACTAACAGAGAGGAGAAAGGAGGGAACAGGAAGGCAGAGGGGGAGACTGCTGGAGCCGCTGCCAGGACAAGGAAGATGTAAGGTACCAATAAGCCATGAGTCATGTAGCAAAGTATAGATGAATAAAAATGGGCTAAATATAAGAGTAAGAGCTAGACAATGATAGGCCTGAGCTAATGGCCAAACAGTTTAAATAATATAAGTGTCTGTATGTTTATTTTATAAGTGGGCTAAGGGACTGCTGGGGCTTGGCAGGACCCAGAGAGAAAACTCCAGCTACAAATGGCACCCAACAGCTCAAGTTTCCACCTTAAATAAAAATGAAAAAAACTAGGACAATTGAGATTTTAATTTAGTGGAGTAATTCTATCTCTGTACTGTTTTACTGTAATGTCTCTTTAAAATCGGTAAAAAAATAAATCAATATATGTGTATATGTATGAATGAGTGTATATGAATTGAAGTATTGAAGTATTGCCAGATCTTGGAAAACAGGGTCTAGCTACAACATGCTGACCCAACTTCCTAGTGCTTTGGTCTATGACAAGAAATTAAGTAGATGGTGTCCTACTACCTCTTTGAAACTTTGTTTCTGTTTTAAACTGACTGGAGGAAACAGTCTCTGCAAATTTGAAGCTGTTTGGAGAGAAGTTTGATCCTCACACCCCTAAAGTGGTCTTTGTTTCTTGCCTACTTGAATTCATCTTTAAATTGTCCTGCATTCCAATACACTCTCCTGCTGTGGGATGGTCTGTATGTCAAATTGCTCTGATTGGTCTGACCGTGGGCAAGGCAGGAAAACTCAAGCTACAAATGGCGCCCAACATGGGGCAAAAGTTTCTACCTAAAACCTGAGAAAAGATTCTAAAACAGAGCTAAAAACAGCTTCCTAATTGTCTCTCTCAAATGAGCGGCAGCCTGCCTGTTTGAGCTACTGGCGGGTTCCTAGCGTGAGAGCGCGGTCTGCAGTATGGCGGGAATGAGGCCTCTGCAAGTGGCACATTAAGCTGCGTGGTGGATTTAGCCTTTGCTAGTACAAAACAAAAAGAGGTTTCTGGGCTACACGCTGCTTTGATAAGAAGCATAGACCCAC